TGATTCATGTCTGACTAAGCAGATTTTCCCCACAGTCAGGGTTGTCATTTCTTTCTGCAGTAGACTGGTTGCCTATCAAGGCTATAGGACCCAGTCTGACCTGCTATTCAATCCATAGCTGGGAGGAGAAAAGGTGGATTCATACCTTTCCCAAGGGTTATTTGTGTGTCAGTGAATGTAACAAAACCAACTTAAATTTGAACTCGGCTCTACAATTTCTCACTCTGAGCCAATATACAATACACATTAACGCATATAGAAGGCATATTTCCCACAAAAATGGTGACTTTTTTTTTTATCACTAGGTTTTATTTTATATAAATATTCAATTTTTTTTTTGTTGTTTATTCTTGATGCTTTCACAAATCACTTATTGACACATAGGTAGGTTTAATTATTTTTGTTGCATTTTTAAAAACATCTAGTTCTCTTCTTAAAATACCTATTATACAAACTTTAGTTAAAAAAAGGGGGGCTCTGTTGTTCGGAACATGCCATAAAGTAAAGGTGTGTATATAATTTTATTTTTGCCATGTCACTTTGCCTCCTTCCTGAGAGATTTGGAAAGAAAGAAAAAGAAAAAACACCTTTTAAAATGCTAAAAAAATTTATTTAATTTTAGATCAATAGTATTTTCTTTTAAAAACATTTTTCTTTTTAAAAACATTTGAAAATTGAAGAAATTCCCTCTTAAAAAATAAATGACCAAATAACCTTACTTAAAAAAAAAAAAAAAAAAAAAAAAAAAAAAAAATCAAAGGATAATAAAAATATGTAGGGATACAGAAAGTGCTTATCTCCCTTCAATGGAGATAACTCATGTGGGTCACATGACAGAATGCTTTGTGATGTCAATCCATACAGTGATCAAAGCAGCACTCATTTTTCAGTTCGTTGACAGCAACAGTAAGGTTGCTTTCTTTTAGCCTGGGCCCAGGCTAAGGTTAAATTTGTCTCCCCAGCAGCTTACAAGCACATGGTGCTGTTTCTCTTTAGGACATAGATGAAATCTGGCCTGTTCAAATCTGAAGTCCTAAAAATGGATTCTCCAAGTCAGGAGTATCTCCAAATTATATATAAGGCCTTTCCTTTTTTCTTCTTCCTTATAATTTCCTGTGTAGATATTTGTGATATATTTTTCTCCACATGGGACACTTGTATATATGTATAGTTTTGTGTATGTTGTAGTATATGTAATGAGTTGGTCGGTCAACTTGACACCCCCAAAGCGAGTGGAGGTGGGTAGGCGTGGAAATTGTGATTGGTAGCTGGCTTGTTGGTGTTTTGCATGGGCAAGTTATCAAGCTCTATGTGAAGGGCTGGAATGAGAAGGAGGGAAGTTCGTCTTGGAAGTGGAGACTGTGCCTGTCGCTATGACAGCAGGAGAGAGACAAAATTTTTTCTTTTTTTTTTTCTTTTGTGACACATTTCAACACAGTATATAAAATTCTCTCGGAGAACAAAGCATGTTTAGCCATTCTGTTCTGTCCCATCCATGAAATATCAGTGTTATTATATCAGATATAATAATTCCCATAACAGGTGAAGCATAAAAGGGAGAATAAATCTTTCTTCCAAGCCCTCTTGTTACAACTTTATAAAATTACTTTGCTGAATATTTCCTAGAGTTCCGACTGAATAAAAAAATAAGTTGTTTCAAATTTACCTGCCATTTCTTGCGAATAATAGGTACAAAAAAAATGGAAGACAAAAATTATCAAAAAATTAAATAAACATTAATTTTTAATGTGAATTTAATTTTTAAATCTAACATTAATTTTTGTTGTTGTTGTTGTGGTGGTGGTGGTGATGTAGTAGTAGTAGTAATAGAAGAAGAAGAATTAAGTTTATTGCCATTAATTATCTAATTTGTTGTCTGCTCAGTCAAACAACCTTGAGAGAATTATTGGTTATATAAATAATGACAACGGCCTCTCCTTGTATTATTCGCTGTACAATTTTTACAGGATGAAAGTACAAATGATAAATAAAAGAATGAAAATAAAATCATATTTTTATTGCTGGACTTAAATTAATAGCAAACAAAAAAAATAGTATTTTTTTTTTTTTTTTTTTTAATTCTGAAAAAGAATTTAAACCTGTGTCATCTGCTAATTGTAGAAATAAAAAAAATGATGGCTGCTCAACAATGTATATCAAAATAAAAAATAAAAAAAAATAAAAAAATATAATAACAGTAAAAAAAATTCCACAAATGCTTTATCAGAATAAAATACTTGGATATTTTAATTTACTATATAAAAATAAAATTAATTAAATCCAATCTCAGGGTTCTGTCTCCCCAAGAAGTACCTTTCTTTCAAGAGGTGGCTCAGGTTAATTCCCTGGTGCTATAGGCACTTCCATTTTTGGGAATGCATCAGGCTTCAGGTAAGGGGGGTACTGCCTGGGGGATGGAACCCACAGGACTTGAACTGATATTATTTTCAACTTCCCTGCCATAATTGCCAGGTAAGTATTTCCCCCAATAAAGTAGAAGACGGCGGCTAAAAAAAAAAACATCATTTATATAAAAATCACAAAAATTGAAATATTTATATTTTTTTTTTTTACTTGAAAGATTTGAAATTTTTTTTAAAATGAAAACTTCAAATTTTTTTAATTTATTTTAATTTTGTAATTTAAATAATATGCTTAAACATCATTTTTTTTTTTTTTTTTTTTAACTACCAATTCTGATTTGTGGAACTCTTCCACTTTCTTGCTTTCCGGTAGAGTTTGATCTTCAAAAATTAAAAATGCAATGAGAATTGTTATTTTCTTAATTCTGTTTTTTATTATTCTCACTACATAATAATGTTTTTCTTTTTCTTATATTCTTTCACACACTGTAACCACCTGCATTTTAGTGGCTTTATTGCCTTGCTTGGAGTGAAATGATTAAAAAAAAAAAAAAAAAAAAAAAAAAAAAAAAGAAAAGAAAAAGCAGTCATGGTTGAAACTTATCTTGGACAATATTATTTACACTGTTTCCACTTTTATTAAATTTTGGTACATGAGACTTTTACAAGGTTCTCCCCACCCCCAAAACTTTTTTTTTTCTTGACTTTACTTTCCTTTATTCTGAATTCATTGTAACAAATAGTCATGCTTCTGCATGACTATTTGTTACAATAAATCAAAATAATCATTGTTACAATGAATACAATATAGAAGAATGTTAGTAATTTGAAAATGCCTAAGTAGCCATGAAACAGTTCATTGATGAAAAGAAAATATTTATTAACATGACAATGATGGCAATGACGATGGGGTGTGTGTTTTTTTTTAACTGGGGAAGATGTGTGCATGTATATATTTATATGCACATCTGTCAGTTTTGTTGATGTGTTTACTGTGCTCACTGTATGCTATATGTGGTGCAATATGACTTATGTAAACATGCATATGTATGTAAAAAAAAAAAAAATGTATAGTAAAAATGTAATTAATATCCATGTATGCATGCATTACATATATGTATATAATGAATGCAATATATGTATATATGCCATGTTAGAAGACTCAGCAATATTATTGGTCCTGATCTGGTAGCTCAGCTTCAGTTACTTATCCACTGCTGTAAGGTTGCCTCTCTCTGCCTTTTCTATAAATTCTTTCATGGTATTTGTTCAGATGAGCTCTTCGCTATGGTACCTAGATTTCATGAATTTAAGTGCAGTACTAGACTGGCATTGGGATTTTGTCAATTGACAGTTGAGCTGGCTAGATGTAGCCATAAATTCTATGCTAACAGTTTCTTTTCTCACACTTCTCGCTCGTGGAACTCCCTTCCAGCTCCATGCTTTCCAACCACCTTTAATCTGCAAAAATTTAAATGCAATGTCAATTGCTATCTTCTGCCCTCCTGATTACTCTTTTCTCTTTCTACTTATTAATGTTTCTGTTCCTAATTCCTCCACACCCTATAACCCCTTGTGTTTTAGTGGCTTTACTGCCTTGCATGAAGTGATACTGATTAAAAAAAAAATATTATGCACATATATGTGATAAGTATGTATGTATTAAATCATTATGTATTTGTTGCTTGAAGTGCTTGCGGGTGGGTACATGAACATACCTGCTGGGTGTGGACTTTTTTTTTTTTTTTCTTTCTCTCTCTCATTAATACCCAATCGATCGGTGGTAGGTAGTCCGGGTAAGTAATGCGCTATAAAGGACACTATATGATCGGGTGGATTGAGGGTGTCAGTCGCCACCACCTCCCCTTCCTCTCATCCTCCACCAAGTCGGTGTGTGTCTCAGTGTCACTCATCATCAGATCAACTGCGTGCAAGATGATATTTAGGAAGCAACTACAAGACTAACAATCGCCACTCCGATTCCTCTCTGTGGCCGTCCGGCTGACAAGACAAGTTAGGCTTTGTCCAAAGCCGTCAAAAGTATAACACTACTTAAAAAAAAAAAAAATAATAGGAATGTGTAACTGATTTTTTTTTTTTTTTTTTTTGTTTAATTGCATTCCAAAGTGAAAAGAAAAGACAGTTCTTCTTGTCGACCCGGGTTTTAAAAGAAAATTCTTAATATAGTTAAAGTACACAGAATAATATACATCCGCCAATTAATATACACACACGCTTACAAACTAAAAACACAACCACAATATCTCTATATGTCTAATTTATTTAATTGCTTCTATTATTTCACAGCCCTCACTTGACAGAACCTTCTTTACGCTTTAAAAGTTTACACAGGAAAAAAACTTACGTTTTAAAAAAAAAAAAAAAAAAAATTTCTGAAAATTGTTTTTCTCTTCAATATTCTGCAAAATATAAATTTAAAAAAAAAATCCAAGCAGCAAAAAATATCGTTGGGTTTACTTTACCAAAAAATGATTTTTTCATGAGAATCATTCAAAAGAAAAGAAAAATAATAAAAACTGAAGAGGAAAGTGTGTGTAATCCTCATTAATTTGTAAACATTTATGTGGATCTCCTAAATAAAAACTCAAAAATTATTTTGAGTGGAATAACCTCACGATGGCAGGAGTAGAAACTGCGGTGCGACAAATTGAACTAAAATGGCCAAAAGTACCTGATCAGCTAATTAAAGGTGATAAATTTCTGAAATGGGAAGAGGTAAGTTTCGTTCATTTAAAGAATGATGAATCGTCATGAATCGTCTCCAACTTTTTCAATCGTGGATATTTTTTTCTTTATTATTTTTTTCGCGGAAACGAGACGAAAAAATATTTTTAATATTTTTGTTTGAGGAAAAAGGGCACTTGTTGAAGTTAAAAAGTTATTTTCTTTGCTTTTAATTTCAATTTTAGAAACTAAAAATAATTAATAATACCCTTTTTTTTTATCTTCTCGTTCGTTTGAGCAATCGCAATAATAAACAATTGTTGCTTCTTGTTTAAATGTTTTTATGATTCTTAAGCAAAGCCCCCAACAAAAAAAAAAAAAAAAATGTAGAAAATTTAAACGAGTCGTTTCGTTAACGCTTGACATCGTGGGTGAAAAAAAATGTTTTAAAAAAGTATTTTTGATAATTATTTTTGTTCACATAAAACAAACGTCTCGTGTTATTTCCATCTTTTAACAAGAAAATCGTCTAGAAGCAAAAAACAGCAAACTTGCAGTAAGTGTACAAAGTTTTATTTATTGTAAAGAAAACAGGTGAAAAAAATAAAAGAATTACTTTTTATTTATTTATTTAGTTAGTTGTTAGTTAGTTAGTTCGACATTTAGAAGTATTTTGTTTTTATTTCTAACGACATGAACTTAGTAACAATTTTTGAAACAATTTGTTGCTTGTTTTTTTTAATATCCATCACAACACCTGTCATTTGATAATTCTTTTGAAAAACTCAGATTGGCTTAATAATAATAATAAAAAAAAGTGAATGTCAGTAAGAAATCAAAAAAAAAAAAAGTAAAAAAAAAGACAACCAATTTTTTTAATATGACTCATATTATATTACTTTAAACGTTTGACAAGATTTTAGGTCATAAAAACAAACACCTTTTTTACTTATTTTTTGTATCTCTTCCTTTTGAAGTCATCATGGGCTAGGAAATGGGTTTTCTTTTTTAACTTTTAAAATTTACCTTTTATTGGGATAATTTTCAAATTTATTTTTATTTTGTAAAAAAAAAGTAGTTTATAAAAATAAGATACCTTATTTAATAAGGTATTTTTATTTTATAAGGCTTATTCTTTTTTAAACTGAATTTATCTCGTTAAAATTAAATTTTTAACTTAAAAATTTAATTTTTTAAATTTTTTAGATGAGGAATTAAATTCCGACTAAAAAGTTCCGAACAATCAATTTTTAATTTATTCATTGTATTTGTATGTAATATTGCGATTCTCCCTCATTTCATATTGCTAATTTTTAGTTTTAAGAAAGTAATCTTTTTGATTTGAGGAGGATGAAAATATCCCACCCCAACAAATCGGATTTTATCAGGCAGAAAAAAAATCTCTGAAAGTGAAATGTTTGTTCGTTTTTGTCCCCCCCCCCGAAAAAAAAATGTGCTCACTGAATTCGTTAATAAGAAATAAATATTGGTAAAACAAATTGATTCCTAAAAGAAATTATAAAAGAAAATAGAGAAAAATGTTTTTGTCTCTTCTCTTCGTCGACTTGAACATCTCCTTGAAAAGCTAAATTCTTTAAATGTTTTTTTAAAGAAATTTTTATTGTACAACATTTAGCTAATAGCCGACATTTATGCAAAAAAAAAGGTTATCAAGGAAAAAAATATGAAAATAAGACTTCATTAATTTGTTGATCTCTCCTGCATTGCGAATAAACTTTAAAGTAAAAAAAAAAAAAAGTCATGTAATTTGAACCTTTTTTTCTAAAGCATGTCACTAAGAATCATTATGACAAGAGAAAATCTTTTCCCCTTGTCATTTAATTATTTTTAATTTTAATTAACTTTTATTAGGCTTTCACTTAGATATATTCATAAAGAAGATCTTAATTTTTATTTTTTTACAGGCACACATGCACATTTAAATTAACTTTTACTTAATTGTCTCATAAATTGATGGATTTATTTTTAATCCGACATTTTCTTTACTTCAAACTAAGTAAAAAAGGTTAGTGGACACTTCTTATTTGAAATAGACGCCCCATTTTGTTTTAAACTTTGTGTATATTGTCTACTCGCCGGCTTAATAAATAAAAATGAGGCGTCTATTTCAAATAAGAAGTGTCCACTATAAAAACGTTTCGGTTTGTTGAAGTAAAATGACGGATTAAAAATTAATCTATTATGAGAAAGTGGAAAATCGACGCGTTTCAACGCCGATGTCTGTTGCGCTCGACTTCTTCAGATCGAAATGAAAGACGAAATTGCGTTGGGATGTTTGAGGACAAGAGAGTCATGAATTAAATTACCTTCCTTATATCAGATCTCCACTTTTGTTTCGGACACACAACACGAATATAATTACATGGGTTATGGGTCTATGAAATTCGAAAGATAAAAAAAAACAAAATAATAATATTGATAGTAATAATTTATTAGTACACCTTTTGTTTGACGAAATAGAAGTACGATGAGAAAAGAAAGATGCTAAAAATCGGAACTTTCTGACACGCCTGTGTCCTTTCTCAAGAAGAAATAAGAAATGAAGTTGGACTTTTTGGGAGTTAAATTTTATTTTATTTTTTTCCGCACGTGTTACTGATGATATTGAAATCTAGTAGTTTTGGGCTAGTGTTTGCCACGGTTAGGGTTGTAAACTTGTAATGTAGAAGGCTTTTTTTTTTCTTTTAGAAACTGAGTATGTCTAAAAAACTTTACTTACTTAGCGAGATTGTGTGAATTTATTCATACTTTGTATTTTCTGGTTTTCGGTGTTCTTGGCATTTAAAATAATGGCGCTAAATTTTTAAACAATTTATAAAAAATTATTTGGCATTTCTAGTATATAAAAATTAAAAAATAATCAGTCATTTTCTAAAAAAGAATATCGACTTTGGTTTTTGTGTAAGTCTTCTTTTAAGAATATGGATTATTTCTTCAGTTTTGAAGTTTTAAGTAAGACTAATACGCGCAGCTAAAAATAATTCAATCAATTTATCAACACCATCTCAGTCATAACTTTTTAACTGAATTTTTATTTCATTATTTTCTAGAAAGGCAATTTTTGATCATACATTGTGATTAAAAAACAATCTTTTTCCAAAGTCATAAGTATAACATTTTTTTTTTTTTTTTTTAGTTTCCTTTCTGTTGAGTCTGGAAAACTTTCAAGTTGACATTTATCATTTTATTTCTAGTTGTAAGTAAAAAAAAGCAAAAAGCAACTAATTGGTAATTACTAATCAACTTTATTCAAATTGATTTCAACTTGGGTGTAAAACTGCATCTTCTTATCACATCGGAAAGACCCAATCCATGAATGATTATGTTGTTAAATTTATCGTTTTTAATTATTGTTTGTTGTGTTTTTGAGACAAAAAACTCGTTTTGATAAAACAACAAAAAAAAAAAAGCTTCATTTTTCAATTCAACCTTGACTTTCTTTTAGTTATCTTCGCTTAAATTCAATAAAAAAAAAAAAGTTATCATTGACGCGTTTTCTCAAAAAATTAATAAACAATAATTCAATATGAACGCTTTTTACGGGCACCCGACAAGTCAACCGACCTTGTGTCGCACACTACCACTTGTTGGGAGGGTGGGCAAATTTTAAAAAAAATCATAAAATGGAAAGTTTAATGTAACAAAAGATGAAGTTTGAAAAATATAAATAAAAATAAAATCTGAAACGCACCATATTTAAAATTATCAAATTTTAACGTACTTTGCTTTTTTTACCAATATTCATGGAGGAAAATCAATTCTTTTTAAAGACCGTGGTTGCTATGATGACTTTAAACAGATAATAATGTTTCTGTTACTGTTCTGGTTGAAATTTGGAGGCAGCTTGTAATTCGTAATTTACGTCGTAAAACAAATTCACTAACAAAAAAAAAACAAAAAACAACTTTTTAATTTAATACACTCCAGTAATAATTTAATTAAATTATACACCCTAGCTAACCAATAGAACACACTAGCAAACTAAACATCATTTATTATTAAATACAGTGACATCGTTGTCAAAACAAAGTTCTTTTCTTTTTTTTTTTTTATTTATTGAAAGAATTTGATTGATTTTTTGTTTGTAATGGCATTTTATTAGATAAACGAAACTGCGATTCATTAAAAAAGAAAAGAAAAGTTATATAAACAAAAAAGTGAAATCGTGAGCATACAATACACACTCAACTCAACAGTACACCAAGGTGTTACTGTTGTTACACCTTCACAAGAAAATTTCTTCATTCCCTTTTCCGATCATTACAGATGTGTTTATTTCCCATAAAGGTACACTACTAAACTACTCGATTAGTGACATACTTTGTCACAGATTCCTTTTTTTACTGGTTAAAAGAAAAAAAAAATTAATTAATAAATTTATGATAATTTGTATTCTCTCTGCTTGTGGTGGTGTTTGTTTTATGGTTAGTTTACTTTAACGAGAACAGGTGTATTTTATTTTTTTGTCTTTAATTATGTCTCCATATTGTTCATCTTCGAAATGGGTTTTCTTTTAAAAGTTACTTTCATAATCGACACAATTCAAGAAACAAATTCTTTGAATTTTGTCTTAAGAATAAAATTAAACGAAGGCTTTTTTTAGTTTTTAGTTTTTTATTAGCATGTATGGACTTTATATTCCATTATTACTCAGAAACCTGTTAAAAACTTTTCAGTTTCCCAACAAAAAGCAAATCATGAAGCAGTGAATTTTCTTTAAAATATCTTAAATTAAAATAATTTATTTTAAATCAGCCTATATTTATTTTAATTTGCTAAAAACAAATAAAAAAGGTGTCATACACCATGCACAAGTTTTGTTTGATTGATTGGGAAGTTCTTTAGGGTGGGGGTTCATTTTTCTTTTTAAATTCTTGTTTTTTTTCCCCATCCATAAAATATTAGGATTCAAGTAAAAATGCACAATAAATAAAAAGGAAAAAATAAAAACAAAGTTTATTAATTTATTTATTAAACTTGAAGTCGGTATTTGTAGAAATTAATTAATTAATTAACGTCCCCATTTTTTA